TTATTTTTTTTTTTTTTTTTTTGCTTATTTAAATTGTGTTCAATGAATTAATACAATTTAATGACTAACTTTGTTTCACTCTTTTTAATTTTTACTTTTAAAATTGTCTGCTTTATGTTTAAATTAAGTGGTCAAAAAGTTAAAAAGATCACTCAGAGACATCTCTTCTTCGATGGATAAAGTATGCAGTCAAAATATATTCGAATATTTATTATTAACACGAAAATTTTACAAGTTTGCATATATGTAGAGCATAATAGGTCATATGTGAAACAATTTTGGTGGGAGGATCTCTTTGAGAGGATGAAATCACTAAAGTTCCAGCATTTTGTATCAAGTTTTGAATACAATTTCGCCTGGAAATTTTTTTTACCATAGGGGAGAAAGAGAGTACTAAAGTTGAACATTTCATACATAAAAAGTTTTATCTCGCATCATTATAAAGAAACTTTGAGAGTTAATTTCACTTCCCTAAAATGATATTTCGAGGAAAAAAGAAAAATTGCCCCATATATAATCTATTTTACATAAAATTTTACTAATAAAATTCCATTGGAAATAAATTTTCCTTTTTAAATTAAAAAATTGCAAAATAAAAATGTTTATTTCTATATCGACTTTGCATTAAATGCGTTAAAATATAGAAATTAAACTAATAAAATTATTCGTGATAAAAAGAAAACAAAAAAATATTTTTAAATTTTGTAGAAATATCCAAATGTTATAGTTTCAAACAATCAAAAAGCATTTTGGTTGATTTTAAATGTCGTGGAATTAGATTTGCAGCTCCTAAGAATTGCTAACCATTTGTTATTTACTTTGTATTTCATTAAACTTAATTACATTCAACAGGATTTGGTTAAACAAAATCGACATTAAATAACTTTGCATTCACATTTATGTTAAATTTAATTTCAATCTTTGCTTATTTCATGGAAATGAATACAAAAATTATTATTATTTATTCGTATAATTCATTTATATGTTAATTAATTATAAAAATTATACCAGAATTTTATCTCAATACAACGAAATAAAAAAAAGAACCAGAGAAATATTAATTAAAACGGAAAGAAGTCTAGATCTATATTTATACCCTCTTTTCTTTCACCAGAAAAAAGAAAAGCCGTGAAATGCAAGAGGATAGACGAGAGATATCTTCTTGACTTGTTTTTGTCGAATTGAAATATAAATGCGAGAAATAATTGATCAGACTTGATCCCCTAACCTATTTCTATGCCATGTCAAATGGTAAATATTTTAAACTGTTTCCAGTTTCATTGAAATTCACCCCTACGACACGTTTCTCGAGAAATCGGTTCTCCGCAAAACCGATGGATTAAATAATTAATCATCGTCCTTCTTTCTCCTTCTCCTCCATGTAACTCGTTGATTTTCTTCGTCCCTCTAGTTTACAAAATTAAACAAATTTAAAGGAAAATAAATTTAAGAATTCAAACGAGAAAACTCACTTTATGAGAGGAGAATAGTAAGGCAGAAGCCGGGTCGCACTGACCTCCATTATTTCATTATTTTATTCCTCGTGCGTTTTATTTCTTAATTTACTACTTAGTTTCTTAATGTTTCTAGTAAAAATTTAATCCTTCACTTTTTAACCTTTTCGAGTCTGATTTTCTTCTAGAAGACAGGATGGAGACGTAGAAATAAAATATTTTTTTTTATTATTCTTTAAATAAAAATTGTCTTTTATAATGTGGATGTTCGGAGTAAATCTAGAAAAGCTAAAGAAAATTTTCATTTTGTAAGAATTCTTAATTTGTTCATATTAAAATATTAATATAAAAATATAAAATTGAGGGAAAAAATATTATAATTGATATAATGCTGTAAAAATTAAAAATAAAAAACGTATAATAAAACAATGTATATAATTACTTAAAAAAAAAAAAAAATAGAGTAGTCCAATTTGAAAATAGAAATAATATAATTTTCTTTCTAGATTCATATCTCATAATAATAAAACAATAAAACATCGATTATCCAAATTATCAATTATAGAATGATTCAATGGTATAATAAATGTTTGAACAATATAAAAAGGAATAAACTAATTTATTTTCTTAATCCATTTCTCTTTTATGTAATAAAAAAACATTCACATTGAAATTTTTTTCTTTAATTTTGTGACACACAATCTTAATTCTACCTGACAAAAAATTATTCCAAAAATTAATTCATATCTATATATATATATATATATATTATTATAATTATACGTAAATTATCTTTTATTGTCTCCCAATTACTTGGAATAATCGACGTTCTAAAAGTTCAGAAAAGTTCTATAATCGTCGTGAAAATTGGCTTGACGATATATCGTCTCATCACCCTTTAAGAGATTAAAGTG